TCATATTTTATTACCATTTTCTAAACTATAGCGAATAAACTGTGATAATGTGAGAAATGTTGAAGGTGTCTGAATAAATTTTGGTTTGACTGTATCTATTTGATAAATGAAGTTAACCAACCTACATTATGCATACCCTTTTGGTTTCTATACCCAATATTTAAAAAAATGTACAAATGCAATAAAAATATCGGTATCGGTACTCGGTATCGGCAAGTACCAAAAATAAAAGTATCGGTATCGGGCGAGTACTGGAAAAAGTGGTATCGGTGCATCCCTAGTTTTTGATGTAAATATCGTGATAACATTATAAGTGGACCTCAGAGAACAGTACAAAATAATAACAAAGGCAGTTAATGACCCCGTTTAACACCTTTTTACACATGCATCAATTAAATTATATTATATATAAGCATAGTATAATAGTTAACTTGCTTTGCACTCAAGAAGAGTGAACGATCCTGTTTAGGGCCTTGTGGGGAAAATGTTGCAAGAAGAAAGTGTTTTGTGCTGCAGAGCAAAAAAGGATCTGTAACCCTGTTTGCAATATGTTCACAAAGCAGAGGCAGGTAAACATTACCCATGCAACATCTTTTCCCTCACTAACCTGGGGAGAAGTGTGTTTAGTGGGAGTGGAAAAGCAAAAACATTTGATACATCTGTAGTGAGAAGAGACGCACATAGCTCACAGCTGTCTTATGTTTGTTCTACTGCAAAACACATGCTCTTTCCATTAGCGTCCGGGAGCTTGTGAGAATAGCTCCGACAGCTAGCTTTTATGATGCCATTCCACACACTTTTACATGGAATTACTGCAGTTGAAAGGATATATGTCATGCTTTCCAAGTTACAGAGCGCATGTATATTTTGTACTTGGCATGTTTGCTTTACTGTTCTTGGAATGTTAAGTAAAAGGTGGTGTGAATTGATATAAGCATGTGTGATGATTTACCATTGGAGGCAATAGATGATGACTCTTAAAATCACTATTAAAACCTGGAGTAGATGGTTGGGATTGAATGCTGAAATACATTTCAATGACCAGAAGTGCTGTAACATTTTTAAGCATAACAACATCATTCCATGAACAGACAATACATTTTTATTTCCTGGCAATTAACCCTTTTCGTGTACCACAGCTCATAGATATTTGAGTTTATTGTAGTTAAATGAAGCTGACATAACAAGCACCACTGGGTTGACTGGCATGATATACTAGCTTTTTTATAACATAATATAAACATTAATTTGAATTTAATGTAAAATAATAAAATAAGTCATGTTGTGTTGGTTATTTGATTCTCTACCATGAATACTCTACCCCATTTCCATCTCATTTCCATGTTCACAAGCTTAAGTCCTCTACGCAAAACACTGTCATACTCATAACGAAACACAAGTGCTTTTTGTCATACTCACTATGTGGGGCTGATGGCATTTGAACTCTTCCCCTTCTCTCCTACCACCCACCACCCAGTCTTAGGCTTGAGCTGATCTCAGTACGGTTATACCCTTGAGAGGTCAGCAATAATATGGCTCTATTTTTGGGGAATGTTCCAGAGACCAAGCTTCCACAGACTCTGCTGCGCCAGAGAACTTCAACTTAAATGAAAAGGAAGACCAGACTTGCACTGAGGTGAAGACCGAGATTGTAACATGGACTATTAAAACAAACGCAGGAACACAAGATATCAGACACAGCCCAGCAGAAAATGCTGAAGGTAAGAGATAAAACAACAAATGCATCACATCTATAGTGTTTAACTACTTAAAGTAATACTTGAATATTTAAAATTGTGTGAAACTGTTGGCTTCATTTGTTTGTTTCTTCATTATTTGTAAAAACAAGAATGCACTGGGTTTGTACCAGTTTTACAGAATATTTTATGGATTTAACAAAAAGCAAGTGCTCAACTGTAATCCTTCAGCACTCGTATCACTCTTATCATTATTTTTTTTTTTAACTTGACAAGGACATGATTTAACCAATGTGAACATATACAGACTTGCCTTTGCTATTTATTGGCGAGAATTATCCTTGTGTTTAAAGACCAGCAATGAATTGTAGACCTTTTCTAAGAAAAGTGTGTTATAAGAAAATATCATATGAAGACAGTCCTTCTGTTGCAGCATGAAACCACAATCTCAATTTTAGAAGTCTTTACAAAATGGCAATCGTTTCATCAGTACGGAGCCCCAAAAGTAACATTTGAAGGATTGAAAATGTAATGTTCATGTGAGCATTAGTGATGGGAATTCCGGCTCTTTTTAGGGAACCGGATAATTTGGTTCAGCTCTTTCAGCTCTCAAAGGCTCTTCATTTAGTAACTCTTCTGTCTTTTTAAATTCAACCAAATTTAGTAATGTTTGGCCCAGGGGCGGTTCTAGGATTTTATCCACAGGGGGGCTGAGCCCTCAGACACATTAGATACAAATTACCTAAATAAACTTTATAGTGCTTGTGAAAACTGCATTATTGTATGAAGTAAATATACACAAATATCCATTAAAGCTACAGAAGTTACTTAGTTAAGAGCAGCGAGTGATTCTCTGTTTTTCTTTTGTTGTTTCATTAACATTATTAACATAAGTGCAGGGGTCCATTATATTAATGCACATCTGATATTTTCTTAACTGTTTACATTCACTTAAGACGTTACTGACAGTTTTTACGTTGATACTCATCAAGACAGCCACTCTGACATAATTTTGTACCTATTTGCTCAGTACGCGAAAGAGAACTCAATTAGGTATGTGCGTGCTGTCTGAGAGACGGCTTGGTTGCATGCGTGCTTCAGGTTTGTGCGTGCACAGAGACGATCTATGACATCGGGTAGCTACCCACGTTTAAAATAGCGCCAGCTTTCTGCTGTATGACCTGCCTTTAGTTCAGTGTTTTTCCTTCGAATGCAACTATATGTTTGATCAATTGGAAACAGAGCTTTTGGTCATTTTAACAAGAAATCGTTCTCGATAAATGATCTTTTAAAAGAAAATCAGAGTGGCACGCAAAGTTCTGTTTTGTTGGCATGTTTTGATTGATGCTGATTGGAGCACTACAGTTTGGGAATACAGGGTAAAGCCGATCACATAAGTAGCACAAAAACAGCACAAAAGTTACAAGACGAAATGATATGAGCATATGTCTGTGTGTTAGATTGGATAAGCACTGCAGCTTTTGGGAAGCAGCTATCAGATCATAAAATCCTATAAAAAATTCAAGCAAAGAACAGCAGTTTTGTTTTTGATGCTCTGCTCTCTATTTTCTGTCAAGGTAGTGTTTACAAAAAATGTATATGGTAAACACACCCAAACTAATGCACCTACAGTCCTTAAGCTTGTTTTTTTTATTTTTTTATTTATTTTTTCCCCAGGTGAGTCAGAACACCAGACGGCTAGTCCGGAAGTGATCTATGATGATGTACCCTGTGAAGATCTGTCTTCAGGAGAAGGTATAGATCTCCAAGACTGTTTGATTGATGCATGTATCTGGGTGTTTCTTCAACAAGCACTTTTATGTACCAGGGGTATAACATATTCAGATTTCAGATTTCTCCTCTTTGTTATATGAAGGTCATATTAAAACTTTTGAAAACTATTTACTGTACTCTTATAATTAATCTTTCTACTTACTAAACATATTTTATACACTGTAAAACCGAACAGTGAAATTAATTAAATGAAATGAGTTAACTTCACTCAAATAATAATGAAAGTGTTGTTATCTAGCACTTAACTATGAAGATCTGAATGAATGTGCTGTTAATGGAAGCAAGTTATATATAATTATCGTTGTGATGAGTGGGGTGGGATCATGGAAGGGAGGCTTGGCTTGGCTCCCATGGCTCTCAGCCCCGCCCCACTTGTCATAAAAATTTTAAGCTCTACTAACTTAAAAAAATTGAGTTTGTTTACTCAAATGTTTTGAGGCAATAAGTTTCCACAAATTTTTTGAGTATTCTTAACTTATCAGGTTTTACAGTGTAGTTTTACTAATGTTTCAGTTTAAGATGTTCAATCTTAAAATATAAAAATTAATCACAAAACATGAATTGGTTCATTTACTAATGATGATAATCTAAACAAAGATTGAAAATTTTTCTGCAACGTTTCGGTCATGCAACCTTCATCAGGCACTGCAAGCTATAGCAGTGTGTGGGATTCATCTATTGTTGTTAGATTATTTGGTTTTCTTATTTCCTGCGCATTTCATTATAATTGATTATATGAAAATGGTTTATATCTGTTTTTAATTTCTAATTTTAATTTCTACAGTAGAACTAGACAGTGTATAAATATAGCGTAATTCATATAAAATGAAATGTAAAAAATACTTAAAATATATATTTTTAATAGAATTAATGAAACTATTAGGCCTAACTATTTAACTATTAACATGTTGATTATAAATGTATTTATACAATTTACAGGCTCATCACATTTCAGCCATCTATCTAGTGTCACACGTTTTATTAGGCTGCTTGCAATGTTGAAAATAAAAATATTTACTGCCACATAAAATGGTGGCAGCGACCGTTTTTTTTGTGCTGACTAAAAATCTTGCCTCATGTCATTTTCACCGCAGAATGTAATCAAACACAATTGTTCATTTGAGATGGAGATGGAAATCACATTTTTCACAAGGGCTAAAAGTGTCTCTAAACACCCATCTATGTGTTATATAGATATTTTTTTTCACCATGTCATTGTCGGAAGTCCTTCAGTGATTTACAGGACTGTATTGAAACCTGCATTGCTTTGTGTGTCAGCTGACTTGATCTATGAGGACATTCAGAAAGAGGAGGGCTTGCAAGGGCCCAATAATGGCTGGAGCTCAAGTGAGTTTGAAAGCTATGATGAGCAGTCCGACTCTGAGAGGGCTCCAACCCGCAGCAAGGTGCGTGTGTGTGTTAATTCAAGACTTCCCACTACTGCAATAATTACATCCTGACAAGCATCTGATTAATCTTCACACACATTTCCACATTCCTCATAATGATAAACTACAAAGGTTCATAAAAAGATTTAAACCCTCTAAGATTGCAGGCTGATTGATTGGTACGTGGATCGATGATTTATTTTAGATGCGGGTTCTTGTGATACTATAATGGTCAGTGAAGGGTTGCTGCCACAAGAGTGCAGTGTTGGCCAGCACTTGCCTAATCGCTATTAATGCCGGGCATAACTGACACACTTTTCCACTGCTCTGTATTGCTTCAAATTTGAATTCAGTGTGCACTGTGTTATCTGCCCTTACACGTTCATGAGGTCACAGTGGTATGGAAAACACTTTGCCCAGGTGGCAGTCCCTCAGAAACCAATTTCCCATGGCCAGACTCACCTTTACCTCCGCTGAATTAGACTCCATAAGATTCCTACTGCCAGACGACTCACGATAAGCAAGAATTAGATTGCAGAGTCCAATACCACAGTGATTTGAGCTCAGTTTAACAGTTATTCCTCTATATTTTTTAGTGCATGTATAATTGGAAAGGAATGATTTTCTTTCGAAAGGTGTCAAAAGTTCCTATAATGGGCTTGTTAAGATTAAAATGCACTCACAAGGACAAACAAGCAACAGTTGACAGTTGACTAATTGGGCTATGGTCTTTTCAACTGCGTCAGAAACCGTTTAATTATGAAAAAATAATAGTTACTGACATATTTAATGACTGCAATGTCTGTTTTTCTGTAGAAATGGATATCAAATATTTATGAATATACACTACAGTTCAAAATTTTGGGGACAGTAAGATTTTTTTATTTAGCAAGGATGCATTTAATTAATCAAAAATAACAGTAAAGACTTTTACAAAAGGTTCCAATTTCAAATAAATGCTGTTCTTTTGAATTTTCTATTTACCGAAGAATCCTAAAAACAAAAAACAAAACAAAATCACAACTGTTGGTCAAATTTTGTGAACACAAAAATTAACATAATCAAATGATTTCTAAAGGATTCAGTGATATCAGAGCCATTGAAGGCAGCATAGATGCATCCTTTGAAAACAGATCAGATTAAGGCATATTATTCGACAAACATTGTGTTTCACAAACATTGGACTTGGATGTTATGCCTTCCTACCTCTGTTTTGGACGCAGCCTGTGGCTTTGTTTTGGAAAATTCGGAGGTCCTCGTCTGAGATTCTCATTAGCGAGGATGCACGTTCTGTCATAATCTTATCTTCCTCTGTCTATCCCACCCTGCTTTGACTTAAAAATTAAGCCATGCCCCTGGTTCCAGTCATTTCTCTTGCATATGCTTTTGTGGTTGATCTTGATTTTGCCTTGCCCTCATGCCTTCGTTTCCCTCACTTTTATGCTTACCCCTTCATTCCTTGCTCTCCTCCATGTTGCCATGTTATTGCGCTCTCACCCATGGCCTGCGTTGTTGCCGTGACGATACCTGTAGCTCTCCCCTGATGTGGGACGACTGAGAGAACGTTACACCAGGACCAAACAGGAGCTAGCCATGAGACTGGGGGGCAGACATCAGGTACACTCATGCACGTATGGGGAAGAATGGGTTTTAGCCGGGTGAACTAGCTCGGAGCTGTCAATTAGCGCAATCACAGTCACCTGGGTTCAAGGATACACTCCTTCTCTTTTTCACTTTTCCCTGCTGAAAGGAACAGTGTGAATTTCCATGCTGGTTTATGCTGGTCTGTTGTTGCGGACCAACATAGACATGCTGTCAAACAGCCAAACTGAAATGTAGTAAAGAAGCCTGGTAGCATACTGACATCCCAGCATCCCATGCTTGGGACCAGCATTCAGCACAGCATATGTTAGTCGTTTTCAGCAGGGCAAATCTTTTTCCTTTGAGTTTTCACTTTCGCTGTGTCTTGCTTTTCTGTCTTTCTTTTTTTTCTGTGTTCTGAATCTCAGGGTCCATAGAGTGATTGCTGCTCCCTACAAACAGAGCAGAAGAGATACCTGTAGAAGTTCACTGCACTTGATTTAGTTTGGTCATATGAATATTTGAATTTCATGTCATCAAACACAGACAACAAATAAGTCATGCAGCTTGTCTGTATATACTGTATAATACTATATACGTTACAAAATACTATATATACGTTTTTATATAATTTATTATTAAAATATAAAATACAATTAGTGTAATTTACAATAGATTCACTATTGCTCAAATGTTTTGAGGTAAGTAGGATTTTAAATATATTTTTTTTTCAGCAAGGATGCGTTAAACTGATGAAAAGTGACAGTAAAGACATTTATATTGTTACAAAATAAATCCATTTTAAAAAATGGTGTGCTTTTGAACTTTGTTCAACAAATTTGCTTGAATTTCTGTTTGATCAAAGTAAGTTTCCTTGTTCACTTGCTGTGAATTGATATATTGAAAATATTTTTTATATGCTATTCGTTCCCGATTTTAAATCTCACTTAAATCTTGGTATTTGAAGTCCACTTTGCAGAGCCGTCTCTCCTTTTTCTCTTGTTGAAAGTCCCTCTCTGTATCTCACTTTCTCTTTCTCTGTTGTAAACAAATCTTTCAGACCACTTCAGCTATCAATATTCAACTAAAATACTCCATTTTGCTTCAGCTTCCCTAATGTCTAATTTGATTTGTATGGGTTATGGGCACGCTTGTGTATATATAAAGTAAAGAGCTCTCATGTGGTTCAAGCAAGACATTTCCACATACTCTATTAATGACCTGCTTTCACAGAGATGGGACAGCCCCCTCCTTTTTTAAATATAAAAATATCACTGTAGCTCTATGTTCTCTCACACACTTAGGATATTGTGGCTTGTGGCCATTGAAACAGACCCTGTTGAGCACACACCCAACTGCCGCCCTGACGGACTGAACTGGTGCCTCCCAAATGGCAGGGGAACCAGGGCATAGTTCCTTGTTCACTTGCTGTGAATTGATATATTGAAAATATTTTTTATATGCTATTCGTTCCCGATTTTAAATCTCACTTAAATCTTGGTATTTGAAGTCCACTTTGCAGAGCCGTCTCTCCTTTTTCTCTTGTTGAAAGTCCCTCTCTGTATCTCACTTTCTCTTTCTCTGTTGTAAACAAATCTTTCAGACCACTTCAGCTATCAATATTCAACTAAAATACTCCATTTTGATGATGATTTTCTGTTCCCCTCTGGTCCCTTTTCCAGGTCCATCAGCTGATGCGGGCGGCACGCAGCGGAACGAAAGATGGCCTGGAGAAGACCAAAATCGCTGTGATGAGGAGAGTTTCATTCCTACATAAAAAGGAGCACTCAGGTAATCTAAGAATGATTTCATTTGAGAATTTATCTTCTTTCAAGCACTCATCCTCACTCCTTTTCCTTCGATAGAAAAATATCCCATTCAGGAAAGAAGCAATTATACATTTCTAATGCTTTTTCTCTCAGATGGACAGGGCTGTTCATTAAATTAAGCTAGACCTCTTTACAGATGGCAGATGATCTGACTGTCACCGAGTCAGACACGATAGAAAAAGGCTGATGGAGTCCAGTACCTCTCAGTGCTTTCTAGTATTCTGCTTTAAAAAAAAAATAAAAAAAATGGACTCCTGGAGATCGGAAGCTGAAAAAAGGATCATGTGAAATATTTGGGAAGCAGGAAAGCAATATAAATCAGATTGGGTCTTTAAAATAAAAGGTAGGGAGAAGAGCTGATGAGGGCATTTGATGCACAGGAAAATTGGCTGAGATTGGTCCCCATAATGCCCTACTGCACAATGGGGTAAGATTACCATTTGGAAGTGGAGACTGGTGCAATGCCTATTGAAACTGCGCTCTAAATTATGTACCACACTGCGTATAGTGATAAACATTTTGATTTGGAGGTTCTGTTATCATTTCTTTTATTATTTCAAGAGCCTGCAAAAACTTTGGATGTGGCTTAGAACAGCCTGCTCTGTAATGAGTTTGAATGTACTTTTTTTTTTTGAGCATCTCTTTTTGCTTTGCAGGCGTATATAAAATGTTTGAACGTGTTTTTGTGTATCCTGACAGATGACACTGAGGATGATACAGGGTATCTGGATGTTATGGTATCAGAGGCAAAACACCCACCTGCACAACTGGGACCAATGCCAGATGGGCTTAGCAGCCAACAGGTGCGTGTATATGAATTTATTGGCATTTTTAATAGCCAAAATATACACATTTGAGAGAAGCCATCAGTTTGGTAGTAACATTTGCATGAATATTGTCCCAACCAAAGAGAAGCTGTTTTCTTTTCAAATTCATACATCTGTGTCATTGTGACCATAATGCCTTGAACTTTATTTTCTCTTTTGTCACTTATTGTGGAGGTCTTTCATCTTGTCCAAATTTAAATCAGTATTGTTGACTTTCCAAAGTGAACTGTGGAAAGGCAACAACAAATTTGCTTGCTCAAAATATTTTTAATTAGGAAAACCTTCATCAGTACTTCTATATTAATATAAGTAACATAATATAGATTTAATAAATGACAGCTGTAATATAATTTCTTATGCAAACATACATACACCCACATAGATATGTGTTTGAGTAAAGTTATCATTTTTGTTTTATTCTAAATCTACTGACAACATTTCTCCCGAATTGCAAATAAACATATTACCATTTAGAGCATTTATTTGCAGAAAATGACAACTGGTCAAAACAAAAAAGATGCAGTGTTTTCAGACCTCAAATAATGCAAAGAAAACAAGTTCATATTAATTTTTAAACGACACAATACTAATGTTTTAACTTAGGAAGAGTGGGTGACTTTATGCCACTTTATGCCACTCCTTGCATAAAAATTCAAGCAGCTCGACTTTGTTTGATGGTTTGTGACCATCCATCTTCCTCTTGATCACATGAGGTTTTCAATGGGGTTCAGGACTACAGGTCTGGAGATTGGGCTGGCCATGACAGGGACAGGGTCTTGGTCTAGTGGTCCTCCATCCACACCTTGATTGATCTAACTGTGACACATGGAGCATTGTCCTGCTGGAAAAAACAATCCTCAGAGTTGGGGAACATTGTTAGAGCAGAAGGAAGCAAGTTTTCTTCCAGGACAATCTTGTACGTGGCTTGATTCATGTGACCTTGACAAAGACGAATGTGCCCGATTCCAGCCTCGCTGAAGCACCCCCAGATCATCACGGATCCTCCACCAAATTTCACAGTGGGTGCGGGTGTGGCTTGTAGGCCTCTATTCTTCCGAACCGTTCTCGCCATGCACTTCATCCCAGCTGCCGTTTGCCTTTTTTTTTGTTGAGTGACATTTGAATGATTTGGCGGTCATTTGGCGGTCAGCAGAGAGTCGTTTTCGACCACAGCAGTGGTTTTTATACTTTTCCTTGTTAAATAAGGTTTGGTTCAGGTGATCACCTAATAAGTACGTCATGAAGCAGAATGAGGTGTGCCTGTGTTGGAATTTAATAGACACTGGAATGGAATGGCTGCCATACATGTATATATGTGACCCTGGACCACAAAACCAGTCTTAAGTCGCTGGGGTATATTTTTAGCAATAGCCTAAAAAACATTGTATGGGCCTTGCAGGTCAGGGTCCTTTCCGCTTGAAGTGACACGCGCTGCGTAAACAGATCTGGCGGAGAGCCCTTGACCGTATCACGCTCAAGCTCTCTGGCATCGGTTCACCTGTTAGCTCTCGACCCTTTGTCGAAGTTACAGGATCTGTTAGCTCTCGACCCTTTGTCGAAGTTACAGGAGTACTTTGGAACGATTAACCAGGCCGGGTGTGACCTCAGGAAGCTCAGCCCGTCTTAGCCTTGGGTTGTTGTTAACATCTCTATGGGCATTGGTTGCTTATGGAAGTTTTATACTTTTAGTCGTTCCACTACATTAGCACGGCGTGATTGTACTGTGTTCCCATATGCATCTAAGCATGACGCAGTACGAGTGTAGTATCGAAAGGGAACGTACTCAGTTACTAATGTAACCTCGGTTCCCTGAGATACGGGAACGAGTACTAGTTGCTAGTCCGTGCTATGTAGCTGCACGACTCAGTCGTCGCTTCAGTCGAAGTAACCTGAGAATCCTGTGGCGAACGCCCGCTTATATAGCCAGACGCCCGCCCATTCTGGCGGGCTTCGTCACCATAGCCTCGTGCAGCTCTGCTGCCTAGCCATTGGTTCATTTTTTAATACACTGCACGAACCACAGGCCGTTGTGTTTCACTGCGTGAATGAAGAAGGCTTCAGTTCTGGAGAAAAAAGTTTTTTTCCCCATATGCGTCTAAGCAAGATGCAGTACTCGTTCCCGTATCTCAGGGAACCGAGGTTACGTTAGTAACCGAGTACGTTTTC